GAGCCCCCCACCTTCTTCCTGCAGGAGCCCCCCGAGGAGCTGCACAACGGGGGCGATCGGGTGAGCTACAAGACGGTGAGCCAAGAAGATCTCGATCTGCCGGTGAGCGTGGCCAACCTGCAGGCACTCAACCCCAACCGGCTCTCGGCCATGCGGGAAGCCTTCTCCCGCAGCCGCAGTATAAGCACCGATGTGTGAGGCACTGGTTGCCCGCCCAGCCCGGAGCATCATATCGCACCTCGTCGCTGATGCCAGGGCTTTTAACAGCAGGGAGAACTTTTTGAAATTCATGGAAGAGTTTTGAAAAAGGAAAAAGGAAAAATAAATGAATGTATTTCTATGTTCCATAGGCAGAGACATGCTAAATGGCAATATAAAAGGGTAGTTAAAAAAAAAACAAACCACAAAACCAAAAGGGGAGCATGGGGGAGGACGGTTGCAGCTGGGATGCAAGGTTTTCTAGCTCTGCGTTGCATTTTTTTTTTCTTTTATAAAGAGGATTTTGATATTGCGCATCCTTTTATACAGAGTAAATGCCCCTCGTCAACATTCGGCTGGAGCGCTGAGTGATGACAAGTAAGTAATGGGGCACGTGGTTGGCTGCAAAATGGCTCGTGCTGCCACAGCGGGCGTCTGCTGCTGTGTCATGGGGCCACGCTGCAGCCGACTGCTCCTGGCCCTAGTGTGCACGCACGCGCACACTCACATACACACACTCACACAAACATACACATACCACGCGGTCCTGTAGCAAAGCAGGACTGATAGTGCCCACCCTCCTGCCGCCCTGTCCTGCTCTGCTCCACACTGCACCCGTGCGTGCGTGCGTGCGTGCACAGCCCTGCCCTATTCCCAGCCCATCTCACTCCTCAAGTTGGTCATTTATTCCCAAGCGACAGGCGCGATCCCCTCAGGGCTAGGATGGCCGGTGCGTGCACAGCCTGTCCCTGTCCCCAGAGCAGCCCCACGGCCCCCCCAGTGGAGCTGGGCTGGGGGGGGGTTTGCAAACTCATTGCATTACCTGGCCGTGGAAATAACACACAGTGCAATGTGGGATGAGGAACACACCTGTAGCCACCCCCTCCAAATAATCAGCATCCCCACTCCAAATAATGCCATACATG